AAAAAAAAAAAAAGAAAAAAGCTCCCAGTGGCCAAAGTTGTAGCCATCTGAACCACAAAATAAAGTACTGGACTATAGCTCAAGGGATAAAATAAATACCCAGGAGTCTACATCTTTAAATAAATAAATGATGAAATAAATAAGGGAGAACAGCCTTATTCTGGCACAGAATTCCAGATAATTTATGGAAATACTCCATCCACTCTCTACTCCTTAAGTGTGGGCTATTCATAGTAACTTCCTTTGAAGAAATACAGTATGGAAAGGAGGGAAAATAGTAACTTTACAGTGGAGAAACCAGACAAACACTCTCTCAGGCAGAAGATCAAGCTGACATCCACAGTTAAAAGTCATAAGAGTTTACATCCCTAGTAGGTGATAAGAATGCATTTTACCTCTGCTCTTCCCTCAAAAACCCATAAGCCCAATTTAATCATGATAAAAACTAAGAAAATCTGAATAAAATGTGGACTTGAGTTAACAGTTATATATCAATATTGGTTCATCAATTGTGACAAATGTACCATATTAATGCAAGATGTTAGTGGGAAAATTAGCAGGAAATTCAGTGTGGGGTATATGGGAAGTCTCTGTACTGCCTTTCACAATTTCTGTAAATCTAAAGCTATCCTAGCCAGGCACAGTGGTGTGCACCTGTAGTCCCAGCTACTCGGGAGGCTGAGGTGGAGGATCACTTGAGTCCAGGAGTTCTAGTCCAGCCTGGGCAACGTAACAAGACCCTGTCCCTTTAAAAAAAAAAAAAAGAAAGAAAAGTAAAAACTATTCTAAAATTAAAAATCTATTAAAGAAAATGAGGGTGACTATCTATATACATTATATACATTTCCATAGAAAACAGCTGTGCAAACTAGACACAAAAGCAGACACAACATTCTGCCTGGTTCTAGACTTTATCTGTACATATGGTACAACTAAGCTCTTTTGATTTTTCCACTTCAAATATTTGATATTAAGCTATCCTTCCATCAAGACAACACCCACTCTACTATAATGAAAGGTACACTGCTATAGAGGACAGGTATACAGGAAACACAATTAGCCTGGACAATAAATGAACACTTACAGTAGCAGTTCTCTGCTCATCAAACTTTGAAAGTTTCTGAAGTTCTCTATAGACTGTTCCAAGTGGTGCATATTCCAGAATTAGGTAGACTCTGGTAGCATCATGGAAATAACCATACAGTCTGAGAATATTAGGATGCCTGCAACAAAGGATAAACATTCTAACACCTGGTTTGGAGCTGACAGAAGACTATGTACTAAATGTCAAACAAACTCTTCATGTAAAACCAGTGGTGTTTACCATGAAACCACACTCCAAACTCCGCTTGAGAATCTGAAACTGTAAACCCACTCCAAGAAAAATACATAGACCCACATTTCATTTTACAAGCATTTCAAAGTATTAATGGACCTCTGGTTTAGTTAAGACTATTTCCTTCCTTTAGGCACCTTTATTCTTAGGAGGAAAATTCAGCTGAATATTAATTATCTACATACTAAAAAAAGCACATGGCCAGGCACAGTGGCTCACGCCTGTAATCCCAGCACTTTGGGAGGCCGAAGTGGGAGGATCACGAGGTCAGGACTTTGAGACCAGCCTGGCCAATATGGTGAAACCCTGTCTCTACTAAAAATACAAAAATTAGCTGGGCTTGTTGGTGCACGCCTGTAATCCTAGCTACTCAGGAGGCTGAGGCAGGAGAATCGCTTTAACCTGGGAGGCGGAGGTTGCAGTGAGCTGAGATCACGCCACTACACTCCAGCCTGGGTGACAGAGCAAGACTCATCTCAAAAAAAAAAAAAAAAAAAAAAAAAAAAAAAAAAAACGCATTGCCACAGTAGTTTGATACCCAGACACTGTGACAGATCAAAGCAGTGATCAGTAATGGCAGCAGATGGGTGCTGAGCAGACTGGGCAGGTGCAGACTGTGGCCAGTGGGAAGTAGGCAATGGGAAGCACAGCCCGTGTAAGATGCCTGCCCCTCCCAGCCCCAGCCAGGTATCGCCAGGTAGAGACACACCAGGCCTGATGTGGCCAGACTTGAAGTATTAGCATCTGATTCAAATCTGAAAAACACTGAAAGGAAAAAGAAAAAAAGGAAAAACAAAAACCCACCAGCCCTAGTCAACCTGCAGGTGGCTGCTCGCAACCCCTGCATACTTCAGAATAAGGGGTGCCGTTCCCCTTCATTATCCACCAAAAAGACTTGCCCATATAAACTATTCCATTAACAAAACATTAAATCCTCAAGTGATTTTTCAGGATCAGAGCACTTAAGTGCTCTTTGAAAGATGACAAGTTTAATCATTTTTTGTGGTACTATGAAAAGCAGGCCCTCTAAAAAGTAAATTTATACTTTAAAAAAAGAAAAGAAAAGAAAAGGAATACAATTTTATTTTAACATGAAGAGCATAGGAGAATCACAGGAGAATGATTATAACCCAGTGTGGTACAGAAGCTTATCTAATCTTTTTCATAAGGGAGCAGGAGGTGAGGAACGGGGGCCACGCATTTGAGGACAGTGCCTCATAAGAGGGAGTGCACGGACCTGGGCAGTGGGAGGCTGACATTACAGGAGGGGGAGGGGTGCAGCATGGGTGAATATTGCTTTGAACATGAACCTGAAAACTCACCGAAGGTGGGACTGTATTTCTACTTCTCTTCTGAGCTGATGCTCCACTCCGGCTTTCTCCAGCTGAGCTTTAAATAACACTTTAAGAGCCAGAATAAACTTGCTTTGTTTTTCTCTTGCCAAATAAACATTACCAAACTTTCCCTTACCCAGAGGGCGACCAATTTCAAAGTCTTCCAAAGCCCACTGCCTCCTAGGAAGGAATTTGAACATTTTAGAATGTGAGGAAAACAAAGCTTTTCTAACAAATTCTCAATGAGTAGTAGACACATTCTATAAATAATTTTATATTCCAACTTGTACTCAATATGTATCCTCAGCAAGAACCAAGGCAACAACCACTATCAAAGAGCTGCTGCAACATGAAACCCTGACGTCCCTAGCTGCTGTTAGGTGTGAAGACTCAGTGACAAGGAACAGTCTCAGGTTTGAGATCTGAAGCACTCTATGGGAAATGTCCCAAGCCTGTACTATGCTCAGAGGAACAGGCCCATGACAATGCTGAAGACCATAAAAAGGATAAGTGACCAGAGAGGGAGGAATGCTTCCGGACCATCTGGGGGCCTGTTTCAAACTAATCACAGCCGCTCCCTCCAGTCCCAGAGGTGCTAATTCTCTCTGGGTGGAGAAGCACTCTGGTGGTGGACACTGAGCCACTGAGCCACTGTTACTAATGGAAGCAGGATGGAGCCCACAGGCTAGCTGGGGCATGAGTACCAGTGGATTTAGACTCTTAGCCTCTGTTAGGCCGCTAGAAGCCAAAGTCTGTGGGTTCATTCCTCGCTCCTCCTAGTATATTCTAGAGTCCAGACAGTTCAGAGACTAAGAGTAGGATTTTAGAAAAGCCCTGGGGAAGACATTACTGCCAACCTTTATAATAAAGAACTAAAACTATAACACTGTCAAAACCCTCAGTCGTATATGAGTATACAGTTCTGCAACATATTCTATTTTTTAAAAACTTGCAATTTTATACAATAAAAAAGCACAGACACATAAACCATATGTAGTGGTTACTTCTAAGGACAGAGAGGAACTTCCACACATTTCTGTAACAGATTCATACAAACTTTTTCTAAATTTGAAATGCATTTGTTGTTGTTGTTGTTGTTTTTTGAGACGGAGTCTCCCTCTGTCGCCCAGGCTGGAGTGCAGTGGTGCGATCTCAGCTCACTGCAAGCTCCGCCTCCCAGGTTCACGCCATTCTCCTGCCTCAGCCTCCCGAGTAGCTGGGACTACAGGTGCCCACCATCAGGCCCGGTTAATTTTTTGTATTTTTAGTAAAGACGGGGTTTCACCGTGTTAGCCAGGATGGTCTCGATCTCCTGACCTCAAGATCTGCCCACCTTGGCCTCCCAAAATGCTGGGATTACACGCATGAGCCACTGCACCAGGCCTTGAAAGCCATTTTTTAAAGCGCTTGAGTCCCTAGCAAAATACCTCAATATACAAAATTCCTTTTTTTTTTTAAGATTGGAAATCTGGAAACATTTATATCCTCTAAATGAAAATAAAGGCCTCATTTTTTTCCCCAAGAGTTCCCACAACTAAATTTGCAACAAAATGATATAATGTAGTAGAATAGTACAGAACTTTGTAAATAAGAAAGCTTACTTTTTTGATTCTTCATTTTTCTGTTTTGATGCCAGTTCCTCCTCAGGATTATTTTCTATATGGAATAAGTTAAAAACCTGTTTTTAGAATAACGATATAGGATAAGCTAAGCTGTGAATAGAGGTGAATCAAAGAATTGGTCACCAAAATATTAATGGTATGTCAAGAATGATAAACCGGGTTTTTTTTTTTTTAAGTTTTCCTTATAGAAAAAAAGGACTACTACACCCTGACTTCCATCATGTGAAGTCTTTACAGAATTTCTAAAGACCAGCAGACGTATATATAGACGGGTCCCTCTCTGATAAATTAAAGGCAGACTATGAAGGTTCTTTTGAAGCCTCAGTTTCCAAATGAAGAACTTTTGTGGCAGAATTACCAATCTTCCCATACATGACAAGCTGCCACCTCATCACCTTTTCTCCTTACTAGGTGGGCCAGCCAACAGTCTATACCCTATGTACAAATTATCACCAACATGTAGCAAAACATAAGCCAGCCACCCTCCATTATATTAGTTGCCAAGCGGAAATATAAAAATAAAAGCCACTAATTCGGCAAAATGCACAAGGAATAGTTGTGCAGCAGAGGACTGGGGTAACTATTTCATTAGCCACAAGAACATATGGAACATTTCCACCGGTCTGTCTCCAACATCGCCAACTCGAACAGCACATGATGGTCTGCTCAGATATTTGGATGCAGGTCCAAACTCTTCCTCCAGGTGCCCCTGTCACATGTGCACCCCGCAACTCCCAGTTCACTAACTCAGTTAATATCAATTTAATCACCATCCCTAACTCCTCTTTACTCATCTTTCAGGTACAATTTATTGCCCAGTTCTAATGAGTCTGCATCGTAAATGAGCTCTCAAATTTGTGTGCACCTCTCCATCCTGGCTTGTCTTTGGATAAGTTAACTGCTTCTGAGTCTTAGCTTCCTCCTCTGTAAAACTGAGTTAATTACTGGCTACCTTCATGAAGTGGTTACAAGGATTGAATGAGATGACGCGGATGAAGCACGCACTTATCTCACAGCCTGCAGGGAATGAGCACTCGACAGTTGGTAAATAACAGCATCTACTCTGCTCCACACACAGCAGGTTATTGCCATCTCTGACCTCAACCTCCTTCCTGTCTGGTACTCCTAAATCCAGCGTTCTACTCCAATTTATTCAGTACTTCCACAGTCAACTTTTTTTTTTTTTTTTGAGATGGAGTTTTGCTCTCGTTGTCCAGGCTGGAGTGCAATGGCGCGATTTCGGCTCACCACAACCTCCGCCTCCCAGGTTCAAGAGATTCTCCTGCCTCAGCCTCCCAAGTAGCTGGGATTACAGGCGTGCGCCACCACACCTAGCTAATTTTTTTTTAGTACAGACGGGGTTTCTCCATGTTGGTCAGATTGGTCTCTAACTCCTGACCTCAGGTGATCCACCTGCCTCAGTCTCCCAAAGTGCTGAGATTACAGCTGTGAGCCACCACGCCCGGCCTTCCACAGTAAACTTTCTAAAAGGCAAAGTTCCCTTCTAAGTTCAAAAAACCTTCAGTAGCTTCCAAATGCCCTAGAGATGAGGCCCCATTCCTTACCATGGCCAGCAATGCCCATGGTGACCTCACCGCAGCCTGCCTCAGTTCATCCACTTCTCTGGATTTCCCCCAAACTTTAGATCTCAGTCCCTCAAGTCACTTACTACAAGCACCCTACATCCAGACCCACTAACAAGCAATCAAAAGGACACCAATTGGTGCTGTGTCCTCCCTGGGTGCCCCACTCTTCCAAGAGAGTGAGAATCAGGTCTGTATTTTTAGCACAGATCTGGCCCATGGGCAGACACTGTTACTTCAACCCAGACACCATATTTTCTCCCCATCCTCAACAGATATAAAAGCTAAGGCTCCAAACAGTAACTGCAAGTAATATACACTTGCTTTTTTAGCAACAACGACAAAGAATGACTATCCAATGAGTCTCAAAAGCTAGTTTACCAGGTGCCGACGGCAGGGGCTGCTTGCTCTTTGGGGTATGACTCGGTGGCCTGGAGACAGGATGAGGTACACTGGTTGCCTGCAATTGCTTCTGCTTCTGATTCTGAACCAGTTTGTGACTGGAAACAAGCTTTTGTGCTTGCAAAGGAACACGCTGGGAAGAATTTGAAGGACACAGGACCCGCTGAGCCTGGCCACTATTTGCAGGTAATGGATTCTGACAAGGAAATTGCTGAGTCACGAGAACACGTTTTGGACCTCCAACTGGAGCTGCAGGCTAGAATGGAAGAGAAAATAAACTTTCTGGTATTCGTGAACGCAAAAGATGAATATTTTGAGAATTTCACAAAGTTTGTTCTCTAGTATAGCAAAATAATGAATGTCACGGATAAGAGATGGAAGGGGAAAAGGTATTTTAATCAGTACTTCCAGAGGATAGTTAGTATGTGGCTAAGAATACCCGAATGATACTTTCTACCCCCTCCAACTCCTCACCCCTAAAAATCATGCTTTATTAACAAATATCCATACTGAAGGAGACAAACACTTCCTAGAATTTCTCAATAATTTGGAAATAGACACTAAATTGTTATTTGGCAAAAAGCTATGATACAAAAACTTTATGACAAAATCTCAGTTCCATTTAAATTTCTTTGATAATATACATTTAAGAAAAAGACCAAAAAAAAAAATCTGTCAAAACGTTCAACATTGGTTATCTTCATGAAGTTTTGGAAGAGTCTAAGTTTTCATATGGCCAGGATTTTCCACAATAAGCTTATTACTATACTATTAATTAACCAATGTTTCATTTTCCAAGTATTGACAAAATGGACTTGAGCAAAAAACTGTGACAAAAAGGAAATAAATGTAGGCACTTCAAAAATTTATTACTAAAATGTGTTATTATTTTTGAGATGGAATCTTGCTCTGTCACGCAGGCTGGAGAGCAGTGGCATGATCTCAGCTCACTGCAACCTCCGCCTCCAAGGTTCAAGCAATTCTCTGCCTCAGCCTCCCAAGTAGCTGGGACTACAGGCGATACCACCACGCCTGGCTAATTTTTGGTATTTTCAGTAGACACGGGGTTTCACCATCTTGGCCAGGCTGGTCTTGAACTCCTGACCTTGTGATCCACTTGCCTTGGTATCCCAAAGTGCTGGGATTACAGGCATGAGCCTTGAAATGTATTATTTATACGCCTGTAAGTACTGTATTACAAGCTTAAATAGTTAAGTTAACTCTAACACCCTGAGCTAATCAAACTAAAAGGGGTAGGAGGGATGAGATTTCCTCCAGCTTCAACAGCTCATTGTAAGTGAGGGGCAAGTGCTAGAAATGAAAGCCTAAAAGTCCATCCCCAGCTCAATGGTATGAGTGCTCTACAAAGACAGGGTGTTAAGACTTCCAAATTCAAAGTCAGTTACTCCTGAAATTAGTACACTGTCCACAACATAGTAGGCATTCAAAGACAAATATAAAGAAACATTTTAAATGTAGAGCAATTTTTTAAATAGCCGTTATCATAGGAACTGAGAATCAAAAACAGTAATTCAAGGTAGCCTTTTCTAATTATTTTATATTTATGGCCAATTTTAAAAGTTTTGGACTCCTGCTGGATGCATTATTACTATTATCTTGCATACAACAGAGGGATATAGAAACTTAAGCAGCCAATTATAAGACAAAGCAGAACAAAAAAGCTATTCTAAGAATCAGCAAAATGTTACCGAACACAAGAAAAGTGACTAATTTATACCCAGGAGCACAGTAAGGGATCTAAATTTATAATCCAAAGTAAAGGTGGAAAGAATTCCCAACAAGACCAACCTCCATGTGGGTTTATAAATGTGAATGAGATTACAGATTATTCAGTTTACCTTAACAGGCCCTGAAATGCAGTTTTCTTTAGATCGGTCCATGATGCCTGAAAAGAAAAAGAAGAACCTTTAATTTGAACAAAGCCACCTGCTTAAAGTGCTGCTGCTTGATAGGCAGCGTTACAGTTCCCTGATCAAAAGGCCTCCACAACACACAGGATTTTACACTTTTTGTCCAAATGAAGCTAATGAGGGAGGGCCAGACGTGTGCTTTCCCCGCAAGGCCAACCTCCCCTTGGGCACTGCATCCCATCCTCTCTCACACGGAGTCTTCACTCCTGATGGTCTTGCGGCTCCATCATCTCTCTTCTAACGGATCACTTCCATCCCTGTGCAGCCTGCTGGCATACCTGCTACCTTAAAAAAGTCCTCTTTAGGCCGGACATGGTGACTCACGCCTATAATCCCAGCACTTTTGGAGGCCGAGGCGGGCGGATCACCTGCGGTCAGGAGTTCGAGACCAGCCTGGCCAACATGGTGAAACCCCGTCTCTGCTAAAAATACAAAAATTAGCTGGGTGTGGTGGCGGGCGCCTGTAATCCCAGCTATTTGGGAGGCTGAGGCAGGAGAATCGCTTGAACCCAGGAGGCGGAGTTTGCAGTGAGCCGAGATCATGCCATTGCACTCCAGCCTGGGGGACAAGAGTGAGACTTTTTCTCAAAAAAAAATAAAATAAAATAAAATAGTCCTCTTTATTGTATTATCTTTGCTAACCATGACCCCCTCCTCTCCAACAGCAAAGCTCCAGAAGAACCATCCACACTTGCCACCTCTACTCCTCCTCTCCCCTCCCCTGAGCCCATCCCCACCCGGCTTTTTTGCCTCCACCACATTGTCAGGCTCATGGCTGACACCTACTGTTGCCAAACCCAAGGGTCAATTCCACCTTCCTCGTACTTGCATCCTCAGCAGAATCCGACAAGGTTGATCACATCTTACACCTTTTTCTTCACTTCACTTCACTTCCAGGTTTCTCTACCACCTAGTCGTCCTATCTTTCCCTCCTTGCTGGGTCACTCTCATTGTTGCCCGATCAAGGGTCTGGGGTGACTCAAGAATGAGTCCCTGGACCCTCCACTTCTCCATCTACACCTTCACAGGAATCCATATCACCGAGTGCCTCAGCTCTAAATGCCTTCATGAGGACCACTCAGAGTGCATCTTCTGCCCGATCACCTTGGACTGTCAGAATTGGATATCCAAGAATTTGCCCAGGATCTCCCAGAAATGTCTGCCAGGCACCTCAATCCTAACATATCCAAAACCGAACCGCTTCCCTTCTCCACTTCTCACCTCCCTGTTCATGGGTGTGCCCTGAGCTCACGCCTAGAACGACTTCTCCATCTCCAATTACTCCCTAGCCAAGTACATCCAGTCTCTTTGCTTTCAATACCATCTACAGGCTGAGGACTCCCAAATATTCATTCTTCAGCCCAGACCTCTCCTCTGAACTCCTGATCTACATTTTCTACTTTCTATGCAACATCTGCACCTGATTATCTGAGAGGCATCTCCATTTTAACATGTCCCAAACAGAAGTCCTAATCCCTCCGCACTCTCACCTCCCTAAATCTAGTCTCTAGATATCCTCATCCCAGTTGATGGCAAATCCATCCTGCCAGTTGCTCAGGCCAAAAGCCTTGGCATAATAACCCTTTAAGAGGTTTCTCTCTCTCTCAAACCCCTCATCTAATCCACGAGCATATTCTGTAGGCTCTGCCTTCAAGATCACTGCTCACAACCTCTACTACTACCACCTGGTCAAACCGTAATTCTCCTTTGAATTTTTTGCAACGGCCTCCCAATGGCCTCCCGACTTCCAACCTTACCCCATTATGGTCCATTCTCAACACTGAGGCCAACAATCTCATTAACAAGTCAGATGTGTTGGTCCTTGGTTCAGAAGACCCCCATGGCTCCCCAACTCAATCAAAACAATGCAAACTCCTAACCTGCATAGACAGGCCTATTGAAGTCTCACAGAACATGGACCCTAACTGCCTCTCTGACTTCATCTTTTCTTCTCGACTGTGCACCAGCCACACAAGGCTTCTTTCTTTCCTCAAACAAGTCCCCTGCCATAGGCATTTGAACTTCTTGCTCCCTTTATTAGGCTTTTCCCCCAGGTGTGTAGTTCAGTCTTTCATTTCACAGAGGTTTCTCTTTTTTTTGAGACGGAGTTTTGCTCTTGTTGCCCAGGCTGGAGTGCAGTGGCGCAATCTCGGCTCACCCTCAACCTCCACCTCCTGGGTTCAAGCAATTCTCCTGCCTCAGCCTCCGGAGTAGCTGGGATTACGGGCATGTGCCACCACGCCCAGCTAATTTTGTATTTTTAGTAGAGACGGGGTTTCTCCATGTTGGTTGGGCTGGTCTGGAACTCCCCACCTCAGGTGATCCACCCATCTCGGACTCCCAAAATGCTGGGATTACAGGCATGAGCCACCATGCGCAGCCTTCACTGAAGTTTCTTATCAAATGTCCCCACACTCCAGCCTGGGCAATGGAGTGAGACCCTGTCTCAAAAAAAAATTAAAATTGCCATTTTACAATAAAGCAAATAACTCCGTGATGAAGCCAGGCCCAGACTACAGGCGGGAGCCCTTATAAAAAACAGTGGGTAAGTTAAAGTTAATAAACAACAGCAAAGAAATGCCCACCTGTGTTAATCATTTAATTTCACACATGCTCTAATGCTTTACTTCCCTTACAATTACAAGTAGCAGTCTAATGAGATCACAGAGGCCTAACAACATTTATTTAACATTCTTCTGACAGAAGCTACAGGCGTTTGCTCCCATTTATTCTACTTTTCTTTCTAGGGAAATTGAGTAACAAGCAGAATGGAATAAGATTCTAATCCAGAATTCTGGAGACAACGCCAGTAAGACTGCCCTTCAGGTGACTCTAATCTGCAACCAGTAGACTTTCACAGGATCTATTCAGTTCAAACCAGAAATCCTACCACTCTGAATAGAAAAGCTGTTAGGCTAATAGCACAGGAGGTTTATTCCTTCCTCCTTCAGACCTGTGCATGTCTGCAGAGATGAAGGGAAGGACGAATTGAGTAGGTTGCTGAAAAACGTTTAATTCAAGGGACAAGGAAGGTTAAGGAAGAGGAAGAGACATTACGAGAGTTAACGACAGTGGCTACGTCTACCTCAGCCGGACGGATCTTAGAAATGGAGACTCTGAGGCCCAACCACAGGTTTAAAAAAACAGATTCTGCATTTTAACGTCCCCAGACGATTTGCATGCACCGGTCTGCATCCCTAGTTCTCAATGAAATCAAAGAATCATCTGGAGAGTTTGCTAATAACTAGACACCTGGGTCCTATCCCTCAGAGATTCTGATTTTCCGGGCTCTCGGTGGAGCTATATTTTTAACAAGGCTCTCCAAATTATCCCGATATAACTACTCCAAGGTCTACGGTCTGAGAAGTACGGACCGGGAAGGCCTCTGCAAGGAGGTTCTCATTCATCAATTCACCCACTCATCCAGCCAGGACAAGGGCCTTCCTAGGCTATTCTATCTAAAGCGGCCCCCGTTAAACCGCACTCCTGCTTTTCCTTTATAACACCCACCCCAGTTGCAAGTTCTCCGTACGCTTACCGTCTGACTCCCTACCCACTAGAACGGGAACTCCAACACAGCAGCGACCTTCTGTGCTTTTCTTACCCAGGTGATCTCCGAGAACAAAATCCAATCTGACGCTCACCCACCCCTCCCGCGCGTGTCAACACCACTCAACAAACCCCTTCTACCTCTAGCTGTAATAAGTAACAAGCAGTGTCTTACAGGGCGCCTCGGTGCCCAAGAGCGGATGCAAAGGCACTGGGCGGGCACAGGGTAGCGCCAAGGACACCCAGGGACGGAGGAACCGAGAGGGGACTTGACGCTCCGCCACTCCGGCCGGCCGCCCCTTGTCCCCGCCGCCCTCGTCGCCACTGAGATATCCCCCACGGTCTACCCACCCGTCGGCTCCCACCTGCGACCCAAGGACCCGAGTCTTCCAAGAGCTCAGCCGTTAGAATTCAAAGGTTCTTCTTTTTTAAATAGGAGTTAAACCCTCTAGCCAGAAAGCCGATTGGCCTGCGCTCGAGCGAGGCTGCCTTGTGATTGGTTGACAACAAACCCGACGCCTTGAGTCGCGTTTAAGGCGCACACCGCGCGCAGGCGCACTTGCTCCTTGAGACCCCGGAAGTGGAGCCAACGGCCAGCCAGACCCGTGGCAGTGCCAGCCCCAGGGTACTCTCCGGGGTCGGCCATTTATCGGTGAGGCAGCAGCCCCTTGACGTCAAGCTTGTCGCATTGGAGATAAAGTCCGAGGGGGTGAACTAACCTTTTGAACGTGCCAGTAAGTAAGATGGCGAGAAAAGCAAGCGAGAGTGCGACCGATCGATAGCGCAGCGGTCGGCTTGGCGCCCTTTCAGCGTGCGCAGTGAATGTGCGCTCGGAGCGGTCGATTGGGCAGGATTCGCGCCTCCATTTTTCCAGGAGAGAGCGGGATACCGAGAGAACCGGACCAGCTGGTACTGGGGCACGGGGAGAGTGGCTGGTGCGGTCGGCTGGGGCGTTTAGCGAAAACCACAGAAACAACTGGGGCGAGACCGGAAGAGTCCAGAGTTAGCAAGATGGCATGCGCCTCTACTTTGTGCTTCCTAAGTTGCCCGGCTTGGCCTGCACCCCCTCCTCTTCCTCAAAGGGCCTCGCTTCCATTCCCACCCAGTCCTTAGTTCGCCTCTGCATCCAGATGGTCGCGGCGCATATAGTGAGGGGGCGTCTGTGTTCTAGCCTTTCCAACTGCGATGTAACCGGTCCTGGATCGGGTTCTTGTCCTCGTGTCTCCGTGTGCTCACCTGCAAATTGGGGATAATTAGGCTTCTGTTTACCTGGCGAGTGAACGTTCTGTGGGAGTTGAGAAGTTAGGACTGGGCCACTTTAAAATATATATGTACACACATATATACACACACATACATGTATACATATATACACACAAATATGTGTGTATATATGTATTTGTACACCCGACATGTGCTCAGAAGTGAAGAGACCGGATAGAATAGTGGTGTAGGGGAGCCAAAAATGGCTTCCCTCCATCCGTCTAGGTACGTTGTTAAGACTAAGAGTTAAATTACCAGACAAATTAACAGATTACTGCAGGGTAAACAGGATGTGCATGTAAAGCATTGAACTGGCATACGGAAATTATTCAAGTCATATTAGCACGACATTAACAGTAGAATCTCTCATCAACTTTTCTTTGCCAGACTACCCACTTGTGATTTTCATTCTTTGTTGGTACTTAAGAATCTCCCATTTTTTTCGGATAACTAAACATTGTCCATAGGAGAAAAACGATATTTAATTATGTACAGGAGTCCCACAAAATACGAGACTAAGAAGTTGAAGTCAGATGATTAAAGCTTACATGGCATCCTGAGCTACTGAAAGGAATGAATAGAGGATTGGGGGTGGGTGGGAGGATGGTAAGCAGCAGCTGTAACACAAGTTATGGGAGGGTGAACGGAGGAAATGTATGGTGAATCAAGTTTGTTAATGCAGACAGAATAGGTGATCCTCTGGGTGGTGTCAACCTCTAATCCCTCGTGATCCGAGTTAATCTTCCCTGGTTCCTATGATCTGAGTGAATCTTCCCTGGTTAATAAGGATTCGTGACGAGGTATTTTTGGAGCGTCAGACTTTAGGCAGGTAAGGAGAGCACAGGGAAAGCCTCTTCCCGCCTACTGTTCTCCAAGTGCCCTCAGTTCAAAGTAATCAGCCCGCCAAAGCATCTTGCTTTGGGCTGGCATTTCCTGAACTCCTTCAGTGGTTAAGCTCAGGGCTCTGGAGTTGGCAATTCTGGTGTGCTTTTAACCTTGGATAAGTAACTCAGCCACTTTTTACCTTGAGTAGGTGTTCTGACCTCCTTGAACCCATTTCATCATCTTTATTGTGTCCCAGGATTTTCTACTCAAGCATAGACTTACTATGTTCATGTACTACTTCATACACTTGAATACATTGAATGATTTTATTCAGTGAACTGATGCTTACAAAGTACTTAGCATGACGGTATCTGGCATGCAGGAAGTGCTTAATGTTGTTGGTTATTATTAACACCATCAGTGTCTGTCGGACAGTGTATAAGAAATAGACTCTGGGGCCGAGGCTCAGTGGCTCATGCCCATAATTCCAGCACTTTGGAGAGGCGAGGCGGGCAGATCAACCCAGGGTCTAGGAGTTCAAGACCAGCCTGGCCAATATTGTGAAACCCCATCTCTCTACTAACAATAACGAAATTAGCCAGGCGTGGTGGCACGTGCTGTAACTCCCAGCTACTTGGGCCGGCTGAGGCAGGAGAATAGCTTGAACCTGGGAGGCAGAGGTTGCAGTGAGCGCGACTGGGCCACTGCCCTCCAGCCTGGGCGAGCAGAACGAACTCCATCTCAAAAGAAAAAAGAAATCAGGCTCTGAGGTCCGCTTTTTATTCCTTTATTGTGTCCCCAGACACCTGTAGCCTTTTTAATATTGGTTCAAACTACACATACCATAAAAGCCATTGATTTTTAGTAAGCAGATTATCTGTTCAACAGTTGGATTTCTTTTTTG